TTTGCGATTTGTGTATCCATATGCATTAACCGTATTTTTACGCCAACTAGACTACGATAACTCGGACTGACAGCCCTCAACGTGAAACTCATCAGCAATAAGCGGATGTCATTATTTATCACTGTGAATCAGCCGAACACTGTGAATCTAATGGCAGATAAAATGATCAGAAGCAATCGCATCTTCGTAAAAAAATGCCATGCTTCCTAAAGGCACAGGTGGACAGCAACATCGAATAATAACAGATGCCGAAGCACGGTTCAAAGTCGGGAATGAAATAATAAAAATACACCACTAATTGGCCATTTACAACCGAAGAAGATAATGCTTCAGGTTCAATTAATCAACTGAAACATAAATTTAATCTAAAGACAGTCAAATATATGAAAATAAAATATATACATAATTTAAAATAGCCAGACTTAAGAAGGAAGCAACAGTGATGAATAATGAGATAACATGTGAAATAGTGTGATGACAAATGTCATCCTCTTTCAGAGATACGATCACACCACATAGCGGTTCGGCCAAATTTTCCAGTTTTTGATAATCCAAGTCGAAAAAATGCGTAGTTTACGTCATCAGCCAGACATTTTGCCCGCACGTTGTAATTCATCAGCCAGAGGTTAGACAGCGTGCGAAGCGAACATGTGTTCTCTCTGATCAGTGGCCTGAAATCCTTTCACCAAGGTTTTCAGTCAGATTATTCTATCCTTAAATAGATCTGCTATAGCAGCATAAAGAGAAAAATCAACTGTTTTCGAAAGGAACATAAAACAAGGTTTGATAGTTTATGACAAACCTTCAGGGCTATCTCAGCGGACCAAGAATATACTCCCAACCTCAAATCTCCTTGTCATGTGATCGTATATTCTGGCCATGACGGAGGCCTTTGCCGTGGATCATGAAGAGCAATTTAATATGTTGTCATCTATTGTGTAGAATAACCGGAGTTCGTTTTTCATTCTTACGCTCACATGTTGATTAATTCTTTCGTTCACACACCAGTTCGTTCAATAATCCATCCGTTCACACATTCTTTCGACCATTCGTTTCTATTTTCATTTTCAATGTCAGTGATTTCTGCCCGATCTCAGAGACAGCAGCTTCAAGAAACTGTTTCAGTCGCAGCACGACACTGACTAAATTGCCTGCTCAATTTAATGAAATTAAGTCAAACTTATTAACTTAAATCGAGTCATCGTGTTTTTCTGCGTCTTCTATTTGATTTGACGAAAACAGACAGCTGTGCTAGTCATCTACCATGATGGCAACATGATCCAATGTCAAAACTATTGCAACTTTGACCCGTCTAACTGATGGACAAAAGCACATTGTGAACAGATTACAGCAGGTGCGCAAAACAATTTCATTGCTGCCATTTTTTATCATCGTACACTGATTTAGTCTTGCACTGCTGCTTCGTTGACTGATCTCATTGAGACTACTTCTCCGTTCTTTCAGCGGCCAAATGCAAATTCAATTGTGAGACATGTAACATATTCCTCTACTTCAGTTGCACTGAATATGCGTAATATGACACACCTACCAGGTAAATTTTCTCCAGTATACAAGACCTGCCCATTTGCTTCAGGCTGATCTCCGTTCCGGCTCAGCGTAAGCAACAGCGAACCCATTAAGCGTGTTTAAAGTCAACAGAGAAGGAAACATAATCAGATGAACCGGAAACGGCATTTGATTCGATCAAACATTTCCAACTGTGATTTTAACTCGCAGTTTCGCTAGACTGAACGGATATATCTAGTTATAAATAGTTGCATATCACGTCAGGACATAGAATGATGACAGCTGCAATTGCACTAAAAACGTTCCCCTTTTTGTTTTTTATTCCGCTGCTGTTCATACCACCGCATAAGTCGGCAAACCTGAAATCAGTGATAGAGACCACAGGACTAAACGCCCTAGTCTTCCTTGACAGACATGCTTAACACTCAACACAAATTATTGAACACGGCTGTCAAATTCATTCAGCCTCTCGCGTTCAGCTGTCAGTAGCTCGAAAATGATGTGTTTGTGGAAAACAACGGCGGTCGATCATTTTGAATATGGCATCATAAGGCATAATGACCTACCTAACGGAAAAACATCCAATACAAATGCAATTAAAACGCGTATATAGATGTCTAACATATTTAAATACAGTATCTAATCTTAACCCTGATAAAAAATTTTAACTCTGCCGTTGCTATCCCAAGCAAGGAGGAGGGCTGCGGACCTTGGAGGGGTCTATCGCCAAACTTAGCCACTTTCCCCTCATGGTGATGCAGTTATCGAACGTTATACCAGCTCGGTAGTCGGCAGGGTTATTAAGGACCGCTGAGGCTGTTCGAAAACTGAGGCAGACTACGAAAACTCGGAAATTAAAACCTACTTCATGCCGTCTGGAAACTGGGGACGTAGCAGATCGACGAAGGCTGCGAAAGATATACAAGATCATGACGAAAATATAAGTCGGCAATGGAATCGTAACTCGTTTTGAGCCAAGGCAGCAGACTGCATGATGCAACTACAACACCCCAGATAAGATATCACGGGACCGACACCGAGGGTAGAAGCTCACATTTGGAAACTGGAACATCCTCAGTCAGAGGGAAAGAACAGGCGACGGTTGATAAAGCCGTAAGGCAACTCGACACAGTTGGACTCGTTAAAGAAGCGCCAAAACTCTGGAATTCTGAACCTCTGTTGGTGGAAGTTATCATACTCATGTGTCAAAATCAAGATGCGCGCTTAGATCAGGGTTGGTGTTCTGGCAGAACACATCCTGGCCGATAGAATGAAAACCTATAAGCATAAGAGTGGCAATCCTAAAACTGAATCTACAACAGGCTAAAAGCTGACCTTTTGCAAGCCTATGGGCCCAATATCAAGGGAGAATATAAGTCCTTCTCTGAGGAAGAGGAGTGTGCACTGTACGAAGCGCCGAATATGGAGTTCCTGATTCTCATGGGCAATTTTAATGCGCAATTCGAAGTAGACGCAGAAAAGGGGAAAGGTGTGATCGGAAAGAATGGGAGCAAGTTGCTGCAGTTTTGTGTAAACAGTCGACTGT